TTAGTCTCAGAGTGTCTTTCCATTTTCAAAACTTTTTCATCACGTTTTAACCTAAAGGCGTTCATAAGCTTTAACCTATACAAGACTGTTTTGGCCATAACTCTCTTGTTCTTTATTCGATTCAATTCAAACACTTTTCATTCTGTTTTGGATGATAATGTCAGTGTGTTGAGATTTTAAGAATTAATTTTAAGGTGTGTAATTTCTTCCCATTTGGATTAGACACTCTTGTGAGATTGAGCCACCTTTGTACAATCCGAATGGACAAAATTAAGTCCTTATAGGGCCCGATTGTTTGGCCTTGACACAAGGGGTTCGAAACATGGCTTCTCTACTTTTAATTTGCAATTCTAGTTCCCTTTTTAATTGATTTTGCTCTTTATATTTTTTTTTAGATTAGTTGCATGAAGTATTTAAGCTTTTGGACATAGTTTATGTAATTTGTGCTATGAAAGTGTAATTCATAAGCAAGTCTTGCTTTATATGTAATTTCCCTGTAAGGGGTTGGTATTTGAGTATATTTACAATGGTTATACAAGGTTACAAATGGTTGTAATTGTAATTTAAAGGGATTGTAACTTATTCATTTAGCTTGGTTTTTAGTAAGTGGCTTGTTGAAGATGTTCATTTTGCCTTATTTTTTGGCTTGAAAATTTGCTCTAGTCTTTGTATCCACTTTCAATGAGAAGATTGTTCCCTCCACACCGCACCATAATGGTGTTTCAAAAAGAATGAATCGTACCATAAGGGAAAGGGTTAAAAGCATGCTTTCATCAACTATGTTAGCAAAGGAGTTTTTGGGTGAAGATATTAATACGGCGTTCTACTTGATAAATCTATCTCCTTCGGCTCCATTCGAAGGGGATGTGCCAAAAAGAGTGTGCACCGACAAGAACATATCCTACGCACACTTGAGAGTCTTTGGATGCAATGCTTTCATACATATACCTAAAGAGCATCGAAGCAAGTTAGATGACAAAACAACCGAATGTGTATTTCTGGGCTATGGAGATGATGAATTTGGGGACAGGTTGTGGGATCCCATGGCCAAGAAGTTACATAGAAGCCGAGATGTGATCTTTCGTGAAACTTAAACATTTTTCGATTTTGATAAGGAGGAACCGCCAAAGAGGCTTGTAGATGAGCTGCCAGAAGCACAAGCCCCTTTACACATACATGATAATGATGGGCAACAAGTTCAAGATGAAGATGACCAAGTTTGGGCACAAGCCCCTTTACCCATACATGATCATGTATGGGTAAAGCACAAGCACCTTTACCCATACATGATAATGATGTACAAGGTGATGTTGAGCAGGGGGAGCAACCTCCTCAAGAAGAACCACCTATGGTGAGAAGGTCACAAAGGGAACAAAAGCTTCAACAAAATATCCATCATCACAGTATATCACACTCACAGAAAGTGGTGAACCAAAATGTTTTAGAGAAGCTATGGTACATGAGCAAAATGAACAATGGAAGAAAGCTATGCAAGAAGAACTTGATTTATTTCGTAAGAACAAAACCTATGAGCTTATTTAAGCTACCATAAGAACGAAAATTTTTGAAGAACAAGTGGGTATTTAGGTTAAAAAATGAAGATGACAATAAGAAAATGAGGTACAAGGCAAGGCTAGTTGTCAAGGGATTCGGGCAAAAAAAGGGTGTTGATTTTGATGAAATCTTTTTTTCCGTTGTGAAGATGACTTATATTCGCATCATTCTAGGTCTAGCTGCTAGTCAAGACTTGGAGATGGAGCAGTTAGATGTCAAGACAGCTTTCTTGCATGGAGATCTAAAGGAAGAAATATATATGAAATAACCAGAAGGTTTCCTAGTGAAGGGCAAGGAGCATATGGTATGCAAGTTGAAAAAGAGCTTATATGGATTGAAGCAAGCTCCACGACTAAGGTACAAAAAGTTCGAGTCTTTTATGATGAGCCATGATTTTACTAAAACCATTGGAGACCACTGTGTTTACCTTTAAAAGCATTATGAGTCTTCCTTTATTATTCTCGTGTTATATGTTGATGATATGCTTATCATTAATCAAGATGTGAATTTGATTGGAAGGTTGAAGAAGGAATTGAACAAGGTTTTTGACATGAAGGACCTAGGTGTTGCAAAACAAATTTTGGGCACGACAATCAAGCGTGATAGGAAGAACAAAAAATTGTGGTTATCATAAGAAAAGTACATTGAGAAGGTGCACATGAAGAATCCCAAGCCAGTCAGTACAGCATTAGCTAGACACTTTAAGTTGAGTGCCAAGTTATCTCCAACCAGCAGTGAAGAGAAGAAGAAAATGGAGAAGATCTCTATGCATCAGCCGTAGGGAGTTTGATGTACATTATGATGTGCACAAGGCCTGACATAGCACATGCCATCGGTGTAGTTAGCAGATACTTGGCAAATTTAGGCAAGCAACATTGGAAAGTTGTAAAATGGATTCTAAGGTATCTAAGAGGCACATCTAAAGTTTGTCTATGTTTTGAAAACTCATCCCCCTTGGTAGAAGGCTATACAGATGCGGATATGGTAGGAGATCTTGATAGAAGAGAGTCTACCTCGGTTACTTGTTTACGTTTGCAGGAGGAGCCATTTCTTGGCAATCAAAGATTTAAAAATAGGTTGCCCTATCGATTACAAAAGCAGAGTATATTGCTACCACAAAAGCCTGTAAGGAGATGCATCTTCCACCATTGAGTATCCTTCATCCACAGAAATAGTTGGTGTGCTATGTGACTGCATCTCCAAGCCATTGGAAGACCATCATTGGGTTTTTTGAGGTGAGAAAGAGACTATTCTTTGGAGCTTGTGAGGTATCTCTGTATCTTCTCCAAGTTATTGTTGTTCTCCTATTTGATTATAAGCCTCAAGTTTTGGGTAAAAACTTAATAAGAAACTATATTGTAACCCTCATTTGATTTTAGTGGATTCCTCTCTCGAATTTACCCCGTGGGTTTTCCTTCACATTGAATGGTTTTCCACATGAAATCTTGTGTTGCGATTGTGCTTGGTGGAACTTCATTTTTTTTTGTGATTTGTGATTTCCATTATAATTGGCACTTAGCAAATCACCCATTTTTGGTATTTGCACAAACACACATTATGGATATTCTTTTGCCTTTGATTCACACATAGAAGGAAAGGGCATTGCTTCCCAACAATATTTCCCATTTCATCAACAATACCAAAAATTCCTAGATTCCCCATAATTGGGATATCATGGGGTTTTTCCTCAATCCTGATGCTACTTTTTTTGTTGGTTCTTTGCAGAGCTTTCCAGGCTAAAGAACTTGCAAACTTTGGACTTATCGTGGAATTCAATTGAAGGTGCAATGCCAGTGGAGATAGGTTTTCTATCCTCCCTTGAGAGGCTTGATTTATCAGGGAATCAACTTCGAAGCCTACCTTTTTTCTTTGGGCAACCGTTTCCATCTTAAGGAGCTCGATCTAAGTTACAATCAGTTCAATGGAACTATTCCTCATTTCCGGGGTAGTCTCTCGTCTCTTGAAGCACTTCATTTGACTGGAAATGAATTTAGAGGTAGGCTAACTCAAATTCTTGGCAATTTATCCTCTCTCCATACAATCCATATTGATCATAATGACCTTTTAGAAGCCATCCCTCCAGAACTATCCAAGCTTTGAAATTTACAGTTTTTGGACCTCTCTAGTAATAACCTTTTTGGGAGAATCCCTCAAGATATAGGTAAGCTTCACAATTTAGAGCAGTTATTTCTCTCTGATAACAGCCTTTCAGGGGCCATCCCTCAAGAACTGGGTGAGCTTCGAAAGTTACAGCGTTTGCACCTCTCCAATAATGCCATTTCTTGATATATCCCTCAAGAACTGGGTAAGCTTAATAATTTAAAGCACTTGGTCCTCTCCAACAACTGCCTTCCAGGAGGCTTCCCTCGAGAACTCGGTGAGCTTCAAAATTTAGTGGAATTGGACCTCTCCACTAATCTCTCTCATCCATCTTCTCCTTATCAACCCTAGCCAATCTCTCTGTGCTTCAAAATGTAGACCTTTCTCGCAATAGTAGACTTGTTATATTGAGTGTGTTGTTTGAGCTTTTCAGCTTTCCGAATTCCAATTGTCATATTGTGACCTGAGCAAATTCAATGCCAGTGTTCTTGGGTTAGTTTCGCCTCAACCTACTCTTGAGACATTGGACATCTCTAACAGCAAAAGCAGCGGAGAAATTCCAAAGAATTTCTTTACCCATCTTCCGAGGTTGAAGGAGCTAAATATGTGTTGTAACTCCTTAAGTGGTGGTACCATTGATTCTTCTATCAGCAGATTACATAAATTGTTAGAGTTGGATTTGTCTTCTAACAATTTTTCTGGGGGTCTACCATCCAATTTGACAAATACATTGGAAGTTTTGGACTTGTCAAACAACGGACTATCGGGAACTTTGCCACCCAATTATGCCAAATGAAATAATTTGAGGTGCTTGAATCTAGCAAATAACAACTTCGAGGGGCCCTTAATCTCAAGAGAACTTCGATCCAACTAGCTTAATGTCATTATATTTGCATCGCAATTCATTTAATGGAACAATAATTAAGAGCTTACTTGCCAAAAGTGCATCGTTGCAGGTCATAGACATTGAAAGATAACCATATGTCAGGTGTCATTCCAAAAGAGATAGAAAACCTAGGTTTTTTACAGGTATTGATCTTAAAGAGAAACGATTTTCAAGGTAATATCCCCTACAGCTTTTGCCTGCTCCAAGGACTTGGAATTCTAGATCTTTCCCAAAATAAATTTCGAGGTTCCATACCTTATTGTTTCCTTAACAACCCTGCATGGGTAAACCATACAATGCGGCAATTGGTGGGATTTGTAAATGGCAATAACCCAATTGAAGTAGTGAATTTCAACAAGGATTACACACATGAGTATCGTGGAGATGTTCTAGCGTTGTTGACTGTAATGGATCTCTTTTCGAACCAGCTCAGTGGATGCATTCCAAGAGAAATGAACTCATGATATTGAACCTCTCAAATAATCACCTCACTGGTACACTCCCAACATCTTTAGGAGATTTGCGTCAAATTCTGGTCCTGGATCTCTCGCAAAACATGCTCAAGGGTAAAATCCCACGTGAACTAGGCCGCCTCCATTTTTTAGGCCTCTTTTCAGTCACAGATAATGATCTGGAAGGGAGTGTCCCCTGTGAGGGTCATTTACCAACATTCCGAGAAAGCTCATATAGAGGAAACCCGAAGCTTTATGGATTTTAAGGGGATGAATGCCATCATCTTTTACCAATTGTGCCTCAAAGAAGTGGTAATAAAGAAGAGGAAGATGATACATGGATCGGAGATAAACCAATCTTCTATGCGTGTATTGCAGGTGGGTTCATAGTTGGCTTTTGTGGAGTTATTGTATGTCTTTTTCTGAAGAAACAATGGAGGATTGTTTATTTTGGAAGGAATGATAAGGTCTTGCATCAAATATCTTCCATTTACTAGTGACACATTGAGACAATGTGATGTGGAAACTTTGAATGAAAGGATTGTTATGGAATAAATGTGTCTCAAATGGTAGCTTTCCCGCAGTTGATTTTTTTTTTTTTAATGTTCTGCCTATAGTTGAAATTATATTGGAAAAAGCATGCAACCATTGCCTTCCCACATGTATATTGGAATGGCCCAATTTTAGACAAGTGCACCATGAACCATTGCCGTCCCACATGCATATCGGAATGGCCCAATTTTTTGACAAGTGCACCATGATCATTTGATCATAGAAAAGCTACTTTTGTGTCATCTCCGTCCAATCCATTCATAGCCAATGATGGTGAGAGGCTGGCATAATTCTCTCTCTCACTCTTTTCTTCTTTTCATAAACCGTGTCGGATAAATAGATCGGTGATCCGGATCGAAGAATCGGGCAAATCAATATGTTTTGGCATAAAATAATTTTAAAAAGTCACTAAAAACTCTTTAAATTGTATATTGCTTTTTATATTTTCAAAGAAATTTCGAGTTTTCCACCGTAGATTTTTACTGTTTTATTGAAAATATATAAATACTGAGAAGATATTTCATGTCTAAGTATTTGTTGACTACTACATCCATTTCATAGTCAATTGTAGTATAAAAGTATATTAAAATTTTATTACTCTATATAATAAGTTATTATAATAATAATAAATTAACAATAAATTTTTTATTAATATTTGTAAAAGTTATAAATAAGTTAATTTTAAAACAACAATCTACCGATTTAGTTTGGACACTAAATTCCTTTTTTTGTGCAAAATAATAATATCAAATTTGAGAAGAATGAATTGATGGGATTACAGAGAAAAGAAGCAAAAATTTCAGTGGAAATATTGATAAATAAACCTTGGGTAATAAGGCCAAGAAGGAGACCCGTTATCTTGGTTCTTAATTTAGAATCGAAGCATTAATAAACAATGAAAGCCATATTTTAATAAGTAGAAATATGAGGACCCATTGACAGAAATTTTAAACGCGGTGCATAACAGTAACATAACATGAGATACACAGAAATAGCACTACTATGCACGGCTAACAATAAATAAAGAGGAGATAGAGAGCTACACTATTGCATTTTGCGATGCGTGTGATACATAAGGGAATATATGAACGGAAAACAAAAAGCGTTAACTGTGCATGGTGATATGAACATTAATGCAAGTGCACGTTGCTCAACTTATAATGATGGGATACGTGGTGTTTCATGGCCTTAGTTACTAAGACAGGTGGGATGGGCCACCCCTATTTAAAAAACAATTTTATGATTACAAAATTTTCAATGGCAAGTGTTTCACGGTACTAGTTACTAAGAGGTGTGGTCGGCCACCCATTTTTGAAAGACAATTTTCTTATTACAAAATTTTCAAAAATAAATAAATGAAGGAGTTCATTGTTACGGAGAGAGGTGGGGTGGGCCACCCTGTTTTTTTGGTTTTCTTTAATTTATAAATACAAAATTTTCAAAATAAAATAAAATAAAAGAGTTTAAAGGGACTCATCCAAATCCTGATATATTGAGAGATCTGGACTGGCGCGAACAATTCTGATTTCGATCGCCGAATTTTTAAACCTTGGTATATACAAAAAACCCTAACAAATACTTATGAGTGATTTTTTTTTTTTTAACAATCTCATGAGTGAATTTCAACAATACTTCATTTATGGCTCATTACCATTCAAAGTCCATCATAGAAACCCCTNACAAACACTAATGAGTTAATTTCTACAATATTTAATTCACAACTTATTGTCATCCAAAATCCATCATAGGGTCATAGATGTCTAATAGTTTTTAAACTAAAATAATTTATTTTAAATTTTGGATATGTATAC